TATATATCTGAGGCCCGATTAACCAATACTTGGGACAGTCAGGACCATTCTTTTCTTCCTTTAACCTCTTGCTATTCCCCAACCATAATATGAAAATGATAACACGACTCTCTTCATGCATACGAAGTAAAACCGTGGAGCTGCTTTAAATGAACGACTCTCAAGGTGCCTGGGCAGGCAGAGCAGTTGCAGCTGAGGAACATCTGATGCGTCACTTTCCATTGTCATCAGCCCCGGGCAACTTGCAACAACTGGACGAGGTCCAAGGTCACTTCCAGCCCCAGGATCCTCTGACCCCAGCCTAGCTTTGTGGGCAAGCTGACAGCTCCAAGCATGATGACCAAGACGACCCCCAGGAGGGAAGCAAGACATTTGAAGGACACCCACGTCCTGGTCATTCTAATGGGGCCATGCAAGAAGATTAATTCTTGTTCTATGAAAGACTGAAGACCTGAAAAGAAAATATATCATTGATCACATGTATAATTACATAATGATCCACATATTGGAGGAGTAGTAATTTAGTTGAGAGGGTATCTCTCAGAGAAATTAAGACTGCTCACTTGCCTGTTTAAAATAACATCATTGGTGACTACGTTGGAGAAATTAGCCACGATATCATGAGTTTGTTTTCTAGCAGGTGTACCAGAACATAGCCATACAATAGGACCAAGTATTGAGAAGCCAGATTATCTTGACAGCACTGGCCTTTCACAGTGTATGTTGAGAAGCCTCTTTGAGGTCTTTCTTCAGGGAAATTTTTTTTTATAAAACAAACAAACAAAATCCCTCCTTTTTATAGTTGAAACCCATCTGGTACCCAGAAGGTAGTATCTGTTACTTAGCTCTGTATTACTAGTCCTTCAACTATTTATAAAAATCATAGTCACAAGAGAGATTGTTTTCACCATTGAGGATATTGATGGTGATTTATTTGGTGAGACTTTCGAAATGGACATCAATCATCTGGAATTTTAAGCAATATCATCCTGATTTTTACTATGCTTTTCTGAATAGAAACATACATAACTCTTAATTATTCACTCCTCTGGAAAGATGTTGAGAGGCCACTATGGCCCCAAGAAGTAGATAATACTCCTGTTTAGCTTTGGGTTTTTGTTTGAGGGGGAAGAGGGTAAGTGAAGAAGCTTTAACATTTGAATCCATGGTGCACCCAATTGTGGGAGAGCGGGGAACATCTCAAGCTCGTGAATTAAAGTGTCACCGAGTGAGAGGTTCGCTTGGACCTGGTCTGTGCCATTCTATCTTGAGTTTGTTATTTGGTGTTGTCCCTGTGTCCTGGTCATGGTTATTAACTCCATGAGATTTGCACTGCTTGAGTTCTACTGATATCTTTTCTTCCAGCTACCCTGCTTGGAAGAGAGAGAGGGAAGGGGGCCGTATGTGGACAACATGGGGTGGGCACCTACCGTCTTAGCTGCGGCAAAGGACAGAGGCCAAAGCGGGACTGGCAGACCCAGGCAGCAGTCACCTCAGCTGCTGCGGGGTGAAGGAGAGGGAGATGTGGCAAACGATTCCAAGGTGCTCAGAAGTTTTAAGGAAGGAATGAGGCTGGGGCACAGCAAGCAATCAAATGAATACAGTAAAACTTCAGGGGCTAACCTAGTTCAGGATGTGTGGTCAGCCAGAGGGAGTCTGGGTGAAGTTCACATGGAAGGAAGGGTGAGCCAAGGGGAAAAAGGAATGTGAAGACAATTGTAGGGAAGTGTCTAATATATGTACATATATAAATATTAAAAAATATTTTGAATTCTTTAGAGATACCATTTCTATAAAAACAAATAGGCTTATTCATTCACTAACTGTATCAGAAGAGTCAGTGAATATACTTGAAAGTAATAATCCCAAATTTCTTAAAAGCTATTCCATGATTTAGAGTGGTTTGCAGGAATTAATAAATGATTAGCTATATATCTGAGGCCCGATTAACCAATACTTGGGACAGTCAGGACCATTCTTTTCTTCCTTTAACCTCTTGCTATTCCCCAACCATAATATGAAAATGATAACACGACTCTCTTCATGCATACGAAGTAAAACCGTGGAGCTGCTTTAAATGAACGACTCTCAAGGTGCCTGGGCAGGCAGAGCAGTTGCAGCTGAGGAACATCTGATGCGTCACTTTCCATTGTCATCAGCCCCGGGCAACTTGCAACAACTGGACGAGGTCCAAGGTCACTTCCAGCCCCAGGATCCTCTGACCCCAGCCTAGCTTTGTGGGCAAGCTGACAGCTCCAAGCATGATGACCAAGACGACCCCCAGGAGGGAAGCAAGACATTTGAAGGACACCCACGTCCTGGTCATTCTGACTAATGGGGCCATGCAAGAAGATTAATTCTTGTTCTATGAAAGACTGAAGACCTGAAAAGAAAATGTATCATTGATCACATGTATAATTACATAATGATCCACATATTGGAGGAGTAGTAATTTAGTTGAGAGGGTATCTCTCAGAGAAATTAAGACTGCTCACTTGCCTGTTTAAAATAACATCATTGGTGACTACGTTGGAGAAATTAGCCACGATATCATGAGTTTGTTTTCTAGCAGGTGTACCAGAACATAGCCATACAATAGGACCAAGTATTGAGAAGCCAGATTATCTTGACAGCACTGGCCTTTCACAGTGTATGTTGAGAAGCCTCTTTGAGGTCTTTCTTCAGGGAAATTTTTTTTTATAAAACAAACAAACAAAATCCCTCCTTTTTATAGTTGAAACCCATCTGGTACCCAGAAGGTAGTATCTGTTACTTAGCTCTGTATTACTAGTCCTTCAACGATTTATAAAAATCATAGTCACAAGAGAGATTGTTTTCACCATTGAGGATATTGATGGTGATTTATTTGGTGAGACTTTCGAAATGGACATCAATCATCTGGAATTTTAAGCAATATCATCCTGATTTTTACTATGCTTTTCTGCAATGTAATTAAGTGATAGGGTGTGGGAAGAATGTCATTAGAAATACTATATTCATGGTGTGGCCCTGTGAGAGATCAAGGAGAGGCCCGAGTACGGCTCACAGATCATAGACACCTCATCCCTGAATTAAGAAGTTCTGTCTGTAGAAAGAGAAGCACCATCTTTGAAATGCAGTCCATTGGTATTAAATAAGGACTCAGGCTGGCCATGTTGTGGAGCATCTTGCCCTGAGCAGGAAGTAATACTATGGAAACCAAGTGGAACTGCAACAGTATTGGTACGTAGAGCCAGTTAGCTTAGGGCCCAGCAGTCCTCTACCCTAATAACTTCTGAGATCATCAATGAATTAAAACACAGATCAGAACTCATATCGTTAACAGTCATTCTGAAAAGATGCATTTATATTTTTTACACTGTATTTTAAAAGGCAGGGAGACATTAATATATCTTACACAAATTTCAATACGAACCATTCAAAATAAAAAAGCTCACTTCTAAATGGGAGGTCCACCTCAGATACATGTTAAACCGATGTGTTGTACCAGGATTTTCCAGTGATGTCAGGTTTTGAAGACATCTCTGTACATTTGTATAGCAGATAGAGCTGATTCAAGATTATGTGGCAAAACACCTTCACAACTATTCTCTTGCTACCTGCGACCTGTGATCTTGGTGTCTCTAGAGTTTTAAGTTCTCCAAAGGCCACAGTAAAAGGTGCAATCCAAGTTAGAGCTGCCCAAGCCTCTGAAAGGGAATAGAAAGCATCATCTTTGATTCGTCATCTCAGGTCAGAACACCCAACTCAATGCCCTGAAGTTATATACGGAAAGGCAAAAGCAAGTATCATGTATAAAATAGTTTATTACCATAATAAATAAAATTAAACTTTTTTTTTTTTTTACAAATATCATTTGTGCTTGTTTAAAAATGTTGAGAAGGGAATATCGTCAGTGGAGGGGCCCGCATGTTCCTTTTAACATTCCGGAGCTGCAGACGTACAGTGGAGTTCCTGGCAGCATCCTCAGCTGACCACAAAGAGTATCAGCTCATTTGCCCTTCTGTGTATTCATGCTCATTTGGACAAAGTGACAGATGCTGAGGAGAAAGAGAAACCCAGTGAAGGATTTGGTGGGATTCAATGGAAACAGTGTTAATATAAGGAGAAGCCCCAGAAAGGCGAACTGCTCATGAGTAGAAATGTCCTTGCTGTGTCTGTGAAATGTCAGATGTGGACAGTCTCCAACTGATGCACAAATACAGCGTCTGAATATTAAGAGAATACATTCATTAGGAAGGGTTGCATCTTAACATAAAAGCAGTTCATATCCTGATCAAGATCCGTGATCCTCTCATGGAACAACTAATGGATCCGCTGGCTGACTCAGAAGTTACAAAGAGACAGTGGCTCTAAGAAAGGTGTAATGGTGGGGCGGGGAGGTCACCCACCAGGTCTGGGACCTGCGGGGCATTCGAGTCCGGTTCTAGAGGTGGGGGAGTAAGTCCGATATGCTCACATGAGAACGAAGCTTCATTTGAAACTAAGCTGCAAGCACATTCACACTGATTCTCTTGAACTGTGGGGGTTGGAGGGTGGAAATTAAAACTTCTCAACATGAACATCTTGGGTGAGAAAATGGTGCTTTCTCTGATGGCTGAAGTTGGTGCTGAGAGGACACTGAAATCTCCTCCAGTTGGAGGTGCAAGAGCTGGTGACGGTGGTTTTCACTGAAGCGAGCAAGGAGGCAGTACGGCAATGTAGTGACAGAAGAAGGGCTGCCCAGGGGTCTGACGGTGCCCTCGGTGGGGCTCACCTTTACACAACACAATGTGAGGAGGGAGGCCACGGGCAGGGCGTTGGCAGCTCCACCACCATCGGAGTTCCATGCCGAGGTCTTAAGGCTAAACATCTTTATTGCAAAAGATTGTACAATCTAGTCATCAAATGCACAGTAGCAACCTGTACCTCCACCAGAGCTCTTAAAATTTTCTGGAGGGTGCACGTGCCGTAGGGTGGTCAATGCAACAAAGGGAGATGACGCTCTTCCTCCACCTGGTACTCCTAAGGCATTCATTTAGTCCCCACACAGGGTTGGACAGAAAGCCTGACAGGTGACTTCATATCTTCACCTTGCACCTAAGGATTTGGGAGCCGAGCCTGCAGAATGAGGTGGTGTGTGATAGAGTGCATTTGTACTCTGAGCCATGCTATGTCCAGTTCTGAAAGAGGATTCCAGGAAAGGGCCTGATGTTTGGCCAGCCACAGCATGAAGCATCTAGAAGGTTGAGGGTAAAACAGGCCCAGGAATTAGATAACAAGAAATGGGAAACCCTTGGGCCCATTGTTGTAGCATCAGTTTTTTTAAGCCACTGGTAGCCTACTACTAGCTGTAAACTCTTTGCACACAGAAGTCGTCTGAGGTCCAGAATACAGAGAATGGTCTTAGAAAGAACCAAGCCAGGAGGTCTGAGCATGAGGGAAGAGGGTGGATGAAGGTAGAGATACCAAAATTGTGCACTGGACCAGGGCTTCTCAACCAGATGGCTGCTCCCATTTCCTTCCTCTGGCGATCTTACCACATGCAGGGGAGGGCTCCTTGTGGGTATGGGATGGCAGCACTCAAAGCTGGAGTTCCCACCCTCCACTAAGAATAGCACACCACCTTCTTGACCATCTTATTTCATAGACATACCTTCACCCCACACCCCATCAGCGGGGCACAGCATGTTCAACAAGAAGCCTAGTTGTAGGAGCAGGGCCTCCTGCTCCAAAGCAGCCTGTCAGGGTCATCTCTGGGAAGTGGAACCCTCCTCTGAATGACATTCAAGGTAAGGAGTCTCAGTAAGAGATCAAGTAACCCAGAATTACTGGGCAATGGTATAATACATAAAGTTCCGTCTTCCAAATGGAAAACTAGCTCAGGTAAATACCTCTCAGCATGACTTTCCAGAAATCTAAAACTTCGGCCTAATACCTAGGGTCTTTCTGCTTCCCTCATCTCTCTGCAGCCACCTGATAATGGTTTATAGCAGAAGGTTTGGTCAGTGGTATCTGAAGCTCTGGTCCTTGCTTGGGAACCCAGAGTAGCATCTGGGCAAAAGTAGGTAGTTAGCACAAAGCAGCCAATGGCCAAGTGCATATCATAAAAATGAAAGGAGAGAAAGTTTGGCTCATTTTAAAAATATATCTATTTTTTCAGTGAAAACAATTATAGCAAAAATCCCTAAAGTCCTTTAATGGAGAATCAAAGCATACAGAGCTGCACCTGTGGTATTATTCTCACTGTCACTACGGAAGCATGTATTATGGGTCTGACAACCCCAAGATGAGCAGAGTCCCACCACAGGATTGCAGGCATTAGCCTGGTCTGAATCCTAGTTAATCCAGGAGTACCTTAAAGAATCTTTCCTTTCCCCCCAAGCAACTCTGGCCTTCAAAGCCTCACTCATCAATGAGCATCCTTGCTCTTCAGTCCCAGAGGGGATGTCATTTCCTAGACTGCATCCTTTAGACAGCTGCAGGAAAGGGCAGGGCCTCTCTGTTCTGGCCTGCAGGGTGCTGTCATCAAGTCCCTGGAGAGTCGGGCAGGTGCTTCTGAAGCTGGATGGTGGTGTTATCAGGGCCCTTACCCAGCCTTAAAAGTGTGGGTCCTAAAATTCAGAAGCAGGTTAGTGAGCAAGTTTTAGGAATGGTAAACTAGATCATTTTGGGGACAGATAGGATTCCAGATATTTTACAACCCCAAGGACTACTTGACAGCTTCTAAAATGTTAAGAGTCTGAAAAACCTCACCGCTTTATCCAGAGTCATAAATAGTCATGACACAGCCTGGTGAAAATACACTTCTTTGTATGCTGCCCCATGAGGCTAAATCTAATATTGTTGAAGCCTGGAGAAGCCAGGGGCCGCTACCATAAGCCTCTCTTGCGAAGCTGTGTGAGTGAGTGTACAGGGCCTCTGGGGAAGGAGCCTGCCCTCAACCTCCCAGACTCTGCTCCCCAGGGCCATCTGTGCCAACCGTGGGGAGCCAGGAGAGGTCAGCCCCCTTCCGCACAGATAACTGAGGGCCAAGTCCCAGGACGTGCCGTGGCCCCCGAGCAGGACTAATGGGGCAGCTGGGAGAGTGGGCAGTCAGGAGGCTTTCAGAAATGCTGACTCTCTTTTGTAGGGCAAGTCCTGACCTGGAAGATTCCCTTTTGCACTGAGGGGAATTGACACTGGGGTTCAGAATCTCTGCATCAAAGCCACACCAGGCAGGCTACTGCAGATGGGGTGCTGTGGCATGACACACACAGGTCAGCGCCCTGTATGCTTCCACGCTGTCATCAGTAGTCCGAGTCACCTGCACTCCTAATCCACTCCCTCAAAGCTAGCTTTCAGAGCTCAACTTCCAACTCTGCTTGTAAAATTTTAGGGTTCTGAGCCTCCCTGCAAGACATATACATGGGCTAGCTACACTTTGCCTGGGAGAAACCTCTTTTCCTTTCTCAGATGCCTCTCAAGGAAGTCCAAGCACATGAAGAACCTGACCCCAGGTGACTGTGAGGCAGTGGAGTGTCCCCCAGCACGGTGGCATAGGGACCTGGGTGGCCCATAGGTGGCTCCCATGATCTTTGCTCTGTGCTCAGAACTTCCCTGCACACCACAGCCCCATGGCCACCTCTCTGCACCGCCTTTCAGAGACAGCTTGAAACCTGCTGCCTTGTTCTCTTTCCAGCTCCTGAAGCAAGTATAATCGTGGCCCTGAAATCTTTTCAGGATGTCTCTCGAAGTCCTATTCACTTTAGTAGGATACAAAGAGGTTAGCTTTAAAGTAAGGCCAAGAATGGCTCCCAAATATCCTATAATGATCCCATGCAGTGGACAATATACAAATTTCTGAAGGGCGATCCCAATGAGAATTATAAAATAAACATAGCATTTGCTACAATCATTTTTTTGAGGTTGTATGTGTGTGTCTGTGTGCCTGCTTTGCTAATAAAGCAACTTTGGGCTCGTCACCCTTCCTGCTGATGCCCATACCCTGAGGAATGGCCACAGGAACATTTGGAAAAGGGGTGAGGGGGGTAGACAAAGGAGCCCGTGTGATGAGCCCAGGGGCATGGAGCAGGGCCTTGGGAGCCCTCCTTACTGGCCACCCCTAAGAGCGGGCTGCGGGGCACAGCCCAGAGAATCTCTGGATCCCCAGGGCCCCTGTCCAGCTCTTACACTTGGCTGACCCCTTTTGGGAAAGGAGGCCTGAGGATTCCGGCTGTAGGCGTCTATGGGAGGCACCCACAGCCCCTCAGCTGCTCTTTGGCCTTAACCATTAGAGACAGGAAGCTGAAAGGCTCTACGCTCCCTGTCCCTCAAGCGCCCCTTTGTCCCCAGCTCGGTACAAACGACTATTGTAGGAAAATATACGATGACGTCGGACGCAGGCTGTACAGGGACAGGGAATGCTGGGAAATCCCTGTACCCACTGCAGTCACCGCAGTCTTTGGAGGTCTGGGTGGAGAAGCCCAACATGGTATATACAGGAGGGGTTCTCCAGTGCTCTCCCCCCAATCCCCGAAAGGCTGCTGCTCCTTTCTGGTAGTTTTCTTCTTTTACAAATATCATGGCAGTAAAAAACTAGAAATGAAGGAAAATACCCTTTAGACAGCACGCTTGCTTTTCCAAAATTGTGCCAAGACAGTTCAGATGCAGCCGCCATCTCGCAAGGTGACAGCACACCCCGCTCCCCCTATTTCCCCAGAGAGTGTGCGCCTAGGCAGCGGGTCCCACTTGGATTTTCTGTCGAGGAAAGCCTACTTTGGAAGTTGTTGGTCGTGGAGGTGTGTGAGGCCGGGGTTGGGTCCAGGGCGGGGTGCTAGGTTTTGGTCTTCCACATTTTCCCGAAAAGACCTTTCAGCTCGCTCCAAAAATGTCTCTCTCTGACTCGGGGGACTGGGGCCTCGATATTTCAAACAGCTCCTGAGGAGACTGAGAGGATCTTCTGGAAGTTAATACCCTGAGTATCTCCGAGAGCTGTTTCTCAATGTTGGTCATTTTGGTGTTCAAGGCCTTGATGTCCTCCTTCAGCTCGTGTTTCACCTCCAGGACGGTGGCCTGCAGCGTCTGCTCCGGGATGGGGTAGAAGGAGTGCTTGACCTCGGCCAGGACGGGGCTCCGGTCCTGGGGGCTCCTGGCCTCCCCGGCGTTGTCCAGCCGCAGGTCGCTCTTGGTGATGCCGCTGTCGCACGAGTCCGTCTTCTTCAGCGTGGCCTCGCCCGAGGCCTTGGTCCTGTCGGGCAGCGTCTCCATGGACTCGGCCTTGGACACCGCGCCCCAGTCCTCGCCCTTCCCGCACGCGTCCCGGAAGCGGGCCCAGCCCTTGCGCCTGGCGCAGTCGCCGCCGCCCGGCCTGGGGCCCAGGCACTCGTTGCCAGGCGCGTGCAGCCGGGCGCGGTCGGCCCCCGCGGGGGCGGCGGCCGCGGGGAGGGCCACGGGCGTGGCGGGGCTCTCGCGCACGGTGACCACGCCGGCCCCCAGCAGGCTGCGGCCGGCCGCGGCGTGCTCGGCGAGGACGCTGCCCCTCTCCACGTCCTGCTCGTCCGGGCCCCGGCCGCCCCGCTCCGCGGCCAGCCGGGCCTCCTTCTGCTGCCGGAAGCGCTGGAAGAGCCTGCGGACAGGGTGGTCGGGGGGCAAGATGAGGGGGGCCTCGTTCTTCCGCTTCATGCGCTCCTCCTCCTCCCGCCTCACGTCGCTGATCTTCCGGAACACGATCTGGAGTGAGACAGAACGACCCGCCGGGTTAATCGCGCGGTGGCGCCAGCTGCAAGGCGGGGCCCCCTCGGCCTGGCCCCCGAGGGCCGAGGCTCACAGCATGTCGGCCTCCTGGCTGGGCCTCCCGGGGCTTTACATGGTGACTGCCGCCTCTGACCATTTCTTGACAGTCATTCCCAGTTTTCCAGTAGCCAGGACCTCCCCCTTGCTGTTAGCCTCTTCCAGAGAAGCAACCCCAAGCTCTCCATCACCCCAGGCCGGGAGGCTGGGGATCCCCAAGGGTGGTCTGCCAGAACACTGTCCTGGCCTTTGACCCGGCCGTGCCTGCAGTTCACAATCACCTGGCACACTTCTCAAACATCATTTGTCTGGCCCCACCTCAGACCTACTGCGTTCCGATCTCCAGATGGAAAGCCCTTGAATCTGTAACTTAAGAAGCTCCCCCAGGGGATCCTGACCTACTACACCACGGTCCAGGGCAAGAAAGTTCAGCCAAGTCCCCAGGCAGAGCTACAGCTATGAATGCTACTGCCATCTGCAGAGCTGGACCCTAAGCGAATGCAGTTGGCAGTGAAAAGTAAAAACTAACCTCACGTGGAAGCCTCCTTTGTCCTCAGAGAGCTTACAGGGCAAAAAAGGCCTTGCACACAACAAACCTGCCATAACAATGACAGACCCTTGCACAGCACTTTGCAGCTCGCAAGGCACTTTGATGGTACTTCGATGTATTCCTTATAACAGCACCTATCTGGGGACTGGGACACATTACTATCCCCACTTTAGAGAAGAGGAAAACCAAGACTCAGTAGCTACATGTCACAAAACAGTTTCCTGCAAGGGACTTGTACCCAAGCCATCAAACCCCAGATCCAGTAAACGTCCTACAGGTACTTACTGATGATGACATTGCTTCACGAAGAGGACAGACAGACAGCAATACAGTCTCATGAATCGGACTCTGAGCTCAGCACAATCAGCTTTCCCCGGGGCTGATTATTACAGGAAATCCCTGTTATTTCTGGCTTCTCTTGAATGTGGCAGGTACTCAGGGTCTTATTATAGTTTGACTCACCCCATATCTGAACTTGTGGGAAGCCACCTGTAATAGATTGTCTTTTTTATGTAAATTGCTGGTCTACAGACCAGTGGTCCTGAGATCAGTGAGAAGCAGGGGAAGGGCCTGGGCAGGGAGAGTGGCAGCTCTTCCATCATCTCAACCTGGAGACCCCTGTGTCCTATGCGGGCAGCCTGGGACCCACCTAGACCCTGTACCAAGGACTCCCAGGTCTTGGGGAGGTACCCGTGGTAGCAAACCAGGAGCATGGGCTCAGGGTCAGACAAAACTAAGTCCCAGCTCAGTCACCTAACTGTGTGACCTTAGACAGGCATCTTACTTCTGAGTCTCAGGTAGCTTCTTAAAAAGTGGGAAAAATCTCTGCTTTTCTGATCTGGTAATAAAGCAACACGAGATTACTTACATGAAAGCACTGGCCCACCACTGTAGATGCTAAAATGAATCGTCCTTCCCCTACCCTTTCACCCTTTCACCCTTTCACCTCAGCCTTTTTCACCTTAGGTGCAGAGGACATATAGTCACTCTACCTCATCCAGGAAGCCTCTCCAATGGCACCATTAGTTAGGTGCTCAGATATGACCGACAAGACAGTCGTTTTACAGTGCCAGTAAATACAGAGGAACCCAACAAACACTGAATTGCTTGATGCCCATGATCAACCAGCAAATCACTGCTGACTGCAGATGTCATCTGATGTCCCCATCAAAGCTCCTGTC